CAATATTTTCAAATTAATTTTTAAATTAATTCAATATTTTCAAGCCAGCCAAATTTTTTAAATTTAGAAATTTTCGTTGATGTCTCTACATGTTTTGTACGCAGAATATGGGTGATTCTGAAAAACTCTAAAAAACAGTTAGCCCAAAATTTCGAGTATTTATTGGTTATGGTAATAGAAATAGTATTGGTAATGTTACTGGCCTGTTAACAGTAATGGAATTGGTAATGATAAAAGTAATGTAATGGTAATGTAAATGGTGAGGTTAATGGTAAAAGTAATAGTGGTAATGGTTTGTTGGTAATGCTAATGACATTCGAAATTGTTATAGTAATAGATAATGGCAGGGCGCGTTCAGAAATGCATCAAACCAAAGCATCAGTCTCTTTTAATTCTAAACTATAATTGATGGAAATGTCAAAATATGTGCCGAATTGGAACTTAGTTGCGTAAATAAGACATTTCCATCAATTATAGTTTAGACTCTGAAAGACTCTGATGCTTTGGCTTGATGCATTTTGGAACGCACCACGCAACGGTGATTGTGATGGTAATGATAGTAAATGAGGTTCGTCCAGCGTAGCGTGAGCGCAGCGGAAAATCAGAGCCACTTCTAGACAACTCGTAAAAATCTGCTGACAATCCGTAAAATGAGGAGCAGATGTTAGCCCAGAGCAGCCGAAAATGGGAAGAAATTCGGGAAGCCCACGTGATCCTTCCCAAAAATAGCACTGAGCTCGAAGACGAAACAAAAAGTCAGTGGACAACAACCCTTAGCGCGAACTTAACAAGCACAAATCCAAAATCGGGTGCAACAGCTGAAAGCACCATTCTTAAAGCTTTTTTGGAGTTCAGCAGATTTTAGGTTTCTATCTGGATAAAATTCATTAGAGACAACAACTGATTCAGTAAGAGGTTTAAAAGAGTACTTTGGCATTCCAACGGTGATCAAAAAACGATCATGACAAAAATACCATCAAATAGTTTTCATATCTAGGGCAGAGACGACCGGGTCCTATTATAAGATAAGAAGTGCCTTGACTCACTTGGCTTGTTGGGGCTCAAAAAAGACTTCAGATACATATCTAATCATGTACAGCTGTATTACCTGTTTTTTTTTGTACATACATACATACATACATCCAACCCGAAAGACACAAAAAAGAAACACTTCAAAAGACCTTAAAGCGAAAAAAAACTGTTAATCCCAACACTCTCAAAATTCCGTACGCAAGTGAATAACTCCGGTGGCAAGAAAGAGTAGCAGCTGGCCAACTGCTGCTGGTGGCTAAGCAATCAATTGATGACCATAATAAATAGTATGTGCTGCACTTCACCGCACTTCAATGATTGATGTTTTTGTTTATCTTTTCGCTCATTTGGCTAAATATACATAATTAACAAAAAATAACAAATATTTGTATGTATGCATTTGTGTACAAAAAAATAAATCAACGAAATTTGGTAGTAATTTGGCACAGCAAGACTTAAATAACTATCGATGAAACGTTTTAGAATTTTTAAAAGTTTTCCATGAATACTTACAGTGTCGTGAGCGCTTTTAGGCCAGCCAAAGCGTCGTGGGCAATACGCGAAATGTTATTGTTCGATAGGTCAATGCGACGTAGGCGACGGAAATTCGCAAATGCTTTTGGTGGCAATTCAGTAATGAAATTCTGTTCCAAGCGGCTATAAGACAATTAAAAAAGAATAAAACAAAAATATGTTAAAATAAATAAAACAATGGAAAAGTTTAGCAGAAGCGTAGAGGAAACATAATTATAATAATGATGGCATAAATGACATAAAATAACAACAAAAAATCAAATATTAAATTGCTGTTGGTGCTTAAGCTGCTGGGAGAGCACTTAAACTATTCAGAAATCACTATAGTGAAAGCTCGATATAACGAACCTTGATGAAACGAAAAATTCAACATAACCTAATTTTTGTTTAGTCCCCTGAAAAAAGAAACTTAATTTTTTCGAAATTTCAGAAAGTCCAGATAGCAAAACCCTCTTTATAACGTTTTCTGAATATGTTGACGGTTTGTCTTGTAATACAAAAAAACACTATACTATTAAGTTATAACGATTTTTTTCCAAATTTTTTATTTTTTTTTTCGTTGTATCGGGGTTTCTTAATTCTCCATCGCCCAAATTTGTAAAAAATAAAGAAGACTTTAACTGGTTTATAAATCGAAAATTTGTTTGAAAATGTCACTTTATAGAGCTCTTTAAAGCTATCTATTTTACTTTTTATGAATAAGCCCATTTAAATAGTATAACTAAACTACAGATATAACGACGCATTCGTGCAACCCCTTCAACTTTGTTATATCGAGGTTTCACTGTATTTACCAGCAAAAGTTTGACAGTTTTCAAGTATGTTCGCATGCATGTGTTACTATTGAATTATACTGTCAAATATTTGGGTTTGTGTGTATGTACGAGTACTTACAGCTCGGTTGTATCATCTGGCAGTGACACAGGTACACTTGTGAGACTCTTCTCGCGACAATCAACGATGCCATCAGCACAACGACACGGATGTGGACAGCTATTCTCCATGCCACATTCCATTGGCGCATTTTCGGTGAGACCTTAAGTGGGATGAAAAAAAGCAAAGAAAATAGTGATCAATTTGAAAAAATGGGAAAGAATTTAATTACAAAAGTTTTGTTAAAAAAATACATTTTAAATATTTATGGTAAAAATACCGGTAATTGTTAATATTAATTTTTACAATTTTATTTGGATGCATAAATCTACAAAATTTCCAGCCTGTTGTCAAGAATGTTGTTGACTAGTTTTTTTTTAGATGGTAACACTACTCCGAATATTTCTGGCTCAAGAATTTACGCTCGATCAACTTTTCGAAAAAT